AAGATGATACTCATCTACATTCATGTGGGTGTGCGTGTGTGTGAGCACATATGTACGTATGTGTACGTGTATCGTTTGCACACACACAAACACACAAGCATACATACATATGTATTCGAACTTTGGCACTAAGATTGGTTATATTCACTTTTTATTATTGTTCTTCGTTTCATCAGATTATTTCTATTCTAAATATGAAGAGAACAAATCAAATGGTTCAATGATTCAATAAAATCAAATGAATTTTGAAAATAGAAAGAATAAAGTCAATTCACTTGGTGTTGTATTGCTTGTATCTTCTTATTATTATGGTTAAGAGATAAAGATTTATTATGCAATATAGAATAGAAATGGATATGAACTGAATTATTAGTGAATATTAACAAAAACTGCAAGGTCTTGGTGTCGAATCCCGCGGTAGGGGGGGGCGCTATCGTGGATGTGCACTGCTGATAAGTTTCAAAATAGGATGGAACGGTCTTCCAGTACTTCCAGATTTTCCATGATGCTCTAGCTTTAATTGACTGAGGATGAATTCAATTCCTAAATTACAAACATATCTATTGATAAGGGAATAGTAATTGAGATCAATCATTTCATTGTATTAATTACCATTTATTGATTACCGAATTTCTTTGTAGTTCGTACCAAATTTATTTATTTCCGTTCATTTTTAAATGTTCAATAAAAATAGGTGATAAATTGTAATTATATGCAAAATGACTTTATCTTAATAAACAATTCTCTTATTTTGTAGGTGTTTGTGTTTCTTTAGCATAGAATATTTTATAAATAAGTCAGAAAATTGTCCTTATCAATATTGGGTTGTGAAGATGATTAAATTTTTGATTGAGATTATGAGTCGATTTAAGCTAGACCACCATGGAAAAGACTCCTTCAGAAGTGCAAATTCATGATCTCGCTCAAGGGATTCGAACCTAGGGAGTCCGATTTCGTGTGCTCAGTTTTTTAGAGGTTAAGCGTTCGCTTCATCATTTCAATCAGAAAATGGTCCTATTTATGATGAAAATGAAGTTTATAATGATAGTACTAAGGATTTTTTTATTATTCATATATATATTTCGAATTGTTAGACTTGATACCTGCTATATATCATACATAAATGCTAAAGAATTCATATGCTCGACAAGAAATTCGATATTTCATTTTAAACTACTAACTAATATAAAGTAGTTTAATTTGTATCATAAAATAAATCAACCATGATAAGTATAAGGATGGAATGCAAGAAAACAGGTAAATGTACATAATGAGTTTACATATTTATGTTTGTACATATTAGAATTGATAGATAATAAAGAAGTAATTCAGTTGATGATTTTTTCGAAATTAAAAAGAACTTCGTTAGTTTCATGTTAATATTAACACATGAAATTTAAATTGTTACATAATGGGACAATTCTTAGCTTTCACTTGAAAAATTGTTATATCCCGATAAGAATAACGAATGGTAACTATTGGGATCCATTTATGGACCAGTACTATGCCTATAATTGTTATGTAACTAAACTGTTCATATTTATGTCGCTCTTATTATGAGCTTTATTTTAACCTATGAACTGTTATTATATGACTTACCATTTTTGAATTATTCCCTGTCTATTAGTCACTGCCTCACACATTCACAGCCACATTTCGCTAGATCGTGTACAAATGTTGTTTCGTATTTTATGGTAAGATGTGGTCTATCTGGTTGGTAAATAAACTTCGTGTGTTTAAAATACATGATTCATATAGCAGAGGTTGAGATTAGTGTTCTGGATTCAACTGGCTGGGCTAGACGGAAAGCAGGACCAATTAGGACTCTAGAATGCTCGCACGTGTTTTATGCGTCACTGGTTCGATCGGTAGTTCGCTGCTCTCTGATTGGCGGTATCGTTGTGCTATACAATAAACAGGGCACACAGGTTCACAAGTTATAACAAAAATGTAGAGTTCTAACAGTTTGAAACTAAAATAAAAACTCATTGAAAACATGGACTGTCGCTTCGTATTGATATGGAACCCCTAGGCAATACATATTCACAACTTCATAGCCAGTAGTTGAACCTAGGACTTCCGGTCTCGTACACGAATGCCTAACTTTCAAACTATTTAGCCAACAACCAGTAGTGTACACGTCTAACTTCGACTAATCTATGATATTATGCAATTGTCTTCCATTGTTTTCGGTAGGTAACTTCTTTATACCATTTTGAGATGATAAACCAAGTCAGATATTTTCTTCAAGACGAATGTGTTGTCAAATCTTGAAGGGCAGTAATACACTTCTTTCGAAATGAACGACTGGATTTATTGAAATTTTTGTTTACGAAACAATTGGCTCAACAATTTTGACGACACTACAATTTATAGACGACCTCTGAGCGAATCTTAAGTGACTTTAAAAAATATTAGCCAATCAGAAAATTTGGTATGAAGTAGAAAATATATTATACAAAACCAAAGAATTAAAGTGGGTACACTTCTTTTATATGGAGTACCAAAGAATTACATTCACCTTATAAAGGCTCTCTACTCGAACACAACTAGTAGAGTGAGAGTTTACGGCGAATTGTCATCAGAATTGATTACCTCAAGTGGTGTTCGTCAGGGCTGTCCACTCTCCCCATTCTTGTTCAACTTTGTCATTGACGCACTTTTAGAGATAACACTCTCCTCATCTAAGTTTCCAGGGGTTGAACTTCTACCAGGAAATTCACTTATTGACTTAGTAGAATATGCTGATGACATAGTTTTATTTGGTGAAGACGCTGACAAAATGCAGAGTCTTCTGACCACTCTAAGCAACAATGCAAGCATGTTCGGGATGCGATTCTCTCCCTCGAAATGCAAAATGTTGCTTCAGGATTGGGTTACATCGACACCCGAACTAGTGATAGGGAGTGAAGTAGTTGAGCGTGTCGACTGCTTCACTTATCTTGGAAGTCTCATCAGCCCTTGTGGTCTGGTGTGTGACGAAATCTCAGCGCGTATACAGAAGGCTCGACTAGCTTTTGCCAATTTGCGTCATTTATGGCGTAGGCGAGATATCCGTCTATCAACCAAAGGACGTGTTTACTGTGCAGTTCATTCCGTCCTTCTTTATGGCAGTGAAATATGGCCGTTAAGAGTAGAGGATATTCGTAAGTTACTAGTATTTGATCATAGGTGTCTTCGAAACATTGCTCGTATATCCTGGGAACACCGAGTAAGTAATTCAATTGTTGGGAGACGGGTACTAGGTAAGGATGGCAAATCAATTGATGAAGTAGTGAAACTTGATCAGTTGAGATGACTGGGACACGTGTTACATATGCCCAACCACCGACTGCCACGACGTGCTATGTTCAGTGGTATAGGAGTAGGTCGGAAGAAAGCTAGGGGCGGCCAAACCAAAACATGGCACAAGTCCATGAAGTCACTGACAAGTGGACTGAGTCATGTTGGTAGGTGTAGACTACCTGGTTGGGGACCACGAGATGATAGCAACCGATGGTTAGAGACCTTGAATAACGTGTCTCAAAATTGTCTGCAATGGTGTAGGTACATCCACTCTTTTTGTTCTCACAAATTCTTCATGTCCCCTTATTTATTTCACTGTATTATACTCCTCGAATAACATAATGATGCTAAAGAGTGTCAGTAACTTTTAGATATGTGCAATCTGTGTTGTGTAAACATGAACTGAGTTACTAAGTGTTAAACTCGTGCACATTTTCTCCTTTTTTTCTCCATTATCCCTTACTACTTACTAATACTCAGTAGTCAGTTTATAGTTTTAAAAAGACTTTCAATTGACAGTATAGTGTACACTTGTGTTATTTTCCTGTTTATCTTCATTTTCGGCTTTGTTGTAATTACAATCTCTTGACAGTTTACTCATAGTTGATTTCAGTTCTTTTTGTCTGCACATTTCTTTATTTAAGAAAAACACATGATCTTAGCTCAGAGAGCCGAAAAGCGACACAACAGCCTTTATAACTGTGCTCATATTCTCTATTTCATTGTTGACTTTTGACACATCTATCGGTGATCATTTACACTAACGTTTACTGTAATTATTCTCTATGTGATGACAGTAAACAGGCATTTTCTGTTCTATATTAAAAATAAGGAAACGCGTTAACCATCACAGATACTTCATGAGCTGAGGGTTGTGACTATGATTGTTCGTTGAGAGTAGACAAACAGCCACTAAGCCTACCAACTATTAAATAACTGATTTACTTTCCTCTCGTTGATTTCTACTCCGGACCCATTGAGTGTGACTAATTATAGCTATGTTCAATAAATTGTTATTGATAAGGGGATTTTTGGAGATTTTCGTATTTTAAAAGTTGAATTCACGAGCCGATCTAAGCCAGACTATTATTGAAAAACTAAAAACACTAGATGGCCATTTCGTCCCAGTATGGAACTTCTCAGAAGTACGCATCCACGATGTCGTATGTGAGATTCGTGAATAATTAGCCTCTAGACCCCTAAGTCGGTGTCTAACGATGTTAGTGTTTGACTTCAATCGATTCTGCGTTCGAAGCCCGTGCGTGGGATCCTGAGTACGCACTTATACGGAGTCTCATAATAAGACGAAATAGCCATTCAGTGCCTCCAGGATCTTAATATTGGTCTAGCTTAGATTGGCTAGTTGAATCATTTACAAGACAAAAGTTTTTTTTCGAATTTATATTCTCACATGTAGCTCAATTAACTAGTTAGATGATTCAGTAGGGTTTAATAGTGAGTTTCGTTAACCAGAAACTGAGATACGAACTGATAAATTATTTTTTAAATACCAAGAAATGGTAATGAAAATAATCAAATGTATTAAAAGGGATGAAGAATTCTGGACGACGGCCTATGCTCCACAGGGAGTAACAGAAGTAAGTAAGTATTAAAAAGCTTGTATGTTATAAATAAACGTGAATAATACAAATCATTTGTTTTTCATCTAAAGGTTCTTCCTTCCATTTATTGTAATGGGATAATTGTCTCAACAGAAGAAAAGGCCCCTATCATATCTGAAAGAATAAAATATTTCCCATGGCTACATGAAGATTGTGATAATTAAAATATATAATACTTAATCATAATAATGACATAATGACAAGAATCGATATTTTTTTATTTGTCTTTAATGATGAACGGAAGAGATCCAAAAAAATCCTGGAAAAAGGCTATGAAAACATTGAGAAACATCATATCCAATCAGCATTCAATAGAAGTTTTACCAGAAACAACTAGAAAGTGGAAAATCACATGTCGAATTTCTGATTGGTTGATTACTTATACTACTATACAATGTTCCAGAAATTTCCGGAAACCTAAGGCCATCGAAAAACCCTAGATTTTCTGTACATAAACGAATCTTGGAGTAAAGCGTTTTCTTTCATATTTCGCTCCTTTTCTCTCGTGTTCAAGTCACTGTAGATTTAGCCTGGTAGTTATTAGAAGAGCTTCGGAACTGAATCTAGTGTTCAATTAGGAGACTTATCACTTACGATCCATTATTGTTCAATATGGTGAATTAACAGAGGTAAGTTGTTGGATTTCAACTAGCGGTCTAGAAGTAAAGTGAGCGATGTGTAACCTGAAGATCTTGTGTTCAATCTCAGAAATTGGGTCGTCGGTGCGCACTGTTAGGAAGTCCTATACTACAAAGAAACAACTGTACGGTAATTTCTGGTTTTCAACAATTGTCAAACTAGGATCAGTTCGTAACGTAAACTATAACAACTAAAAAGAACTTAAATGGTTACATCATTGACTTATATCAGATGGAGAATCATTGAATAAACCAGTGAGGATTCTATGATTTATCAAGATTTTTCGCTGGTGTGCAAAAGACAACACAACGTAACATAGAACGAAGCTAAAAATTATCAAATTTTCCAACCAGTATGATACCACATAAATTTAAACCGGTAACAAAACTTATAAAATGCTCCCCCTCCTATATGGTATGTGGAGGGAAGTGGTAGATGATTCCTTTGAGAGACAGTACTTTTTTATTAGAGACATTGATATTAGACAGAACAATGGCAAATAAACAGCCAGTATAAACTACTGATGACGACTGAGAAACTCCATACAGTACAATGAGTCAAGGTTTGAATAGTCCACATCTAACAACTAAAATCACTCCAACTATTACTATTACTAACCCTTAACTGTTTCACTCTGTACATCGTTTTTGAACTCCAATCAACTGTAAATATTTCAATTTTACCAGTTTGTGGAGGCTTGGAAAGCTCAGTGGTGATGTGGGTTCGAATCTTAACAAGCATATAAACCTAGATAGAACAGGTTTGTTGTAGAGTATCTACAAACGAGAATTATCTTCAAATTGAACGAATCTCTACAAACTTTCAATTCATATAACAACTATATTATTATTAGCTTTATTCAATATTATAGTTTTGATACAACATGGAATTTTCAGTGCAAAATATTTCAACAAGTTTCCTTTTCTTATTTCTTGAACGATCCTGATGATAAATATTGAGTGATTGCAAGTTATATGTTAGCAGTTCAGGAATCGACATTTGAATAAGGTTCGTTCTTTTCAGTGCATATTGCCAGACAACATCATGATGATGCTGAATGTACTTTTTCGTAACCTGTACAGTGAAATGTCGTAAACTTTTCATAAACGCACCTGAATAGGGTTGTACGCTCAATAGACATAATGATGTGTTAAAATAAACAAGAAAACAGATAACTTGTTGAAATATCTAAATGGTAGGAACAGTTAGCCCAGATATTTAAGCAGGCCACCGACAGCTCAAAAATAACTATTTAAGGTAATTAGAGGTACTATACAAGAAACTTTGCCTGATCTAGATTTCGAGCTAGTTGTTATTTATCAGCAAGGGATATCTACAACATCCTCAGTAAGATTCGAACCCTCGTCACCTAGTCTCACAGTCTCAAACATTAGTACAGACTATTCAGAAAGTGAATAATCTTCTTTACAACACAAATATATGTAATGAGAAACTCAAAAGGTCTCAGTACAACCATATGTACTTGTCTATTAATATAAGTAGTATTTCATTCAAATTAAAATGTTACACGGTAGAAATAGACAAACGGAAATGTGAAAAAAGAAATTTGTAAGATTGGAAATTGTCAGTGTTTACCTTTTTTGAATGAACAACCTTTTATAACGAGCTAAAAATTGCTAAAAACAAACAAACAAACACAGGAAGAAATAAGAAAAAGAACCAAGAAACAACAAATGATTGAATTCATAAGTCAATTGAAATTAGATCATCATGGAAAACCTGGAAGTACTGGACGACCGTTCCGTCCTATTGTGGCACTCCTCAGCAGTGTGCATCCATGATCCCGCTTCTGTGACCAGTGGATTTTAACGGGGTCATTTGTGAGATAGGAACTCACTGATAACAATGGTGGATGTGTCGCTCGATTTCGTGGATTAGTTAAAGTTAGACAGTTGGTCAAAGTGAAATTTAGTGTCAATCCATGATATCACTGACTATTGACAAGTTTAGAACACCTGGTTATGGTTTGAGTGATAATTGTGATCAGTAAGCGAAGAAATTGATTATGATAGAACTGATACATTTACTCTTTGTATTCCCATAGATTTGAGTCCCAGGATCCCGTCAAAAGATGTTACTTTATTGCTTCTTCTTCAATAGTATACTCAATGTTTAATAAGATGGTGGTTGGATGTAGTCAACAAGAAACCCTGGAGCTACGTTTCGTGCTACTTGGCACTCGTCATGAAGGTGACTGTGAAGCTGAGCGACACGGGATTAAATCCGTCAGATAGCATCAGTCCCCTCAAGATTACAGGTATACCTTGCTGACGAGTACCAAGTAGCAAGAAACCTAGGTCCAGGGTTTCCTGTTGACTACTTCCAACCACCATCTTATCACAACATAGTGCACATACAATGTCGAGTCACATAGATTAGTGGCCACATTGCAACTTGGTCGATATGATTCGATCTGTACTAAGAAGGACCTGACATACATGACAGTGGCCATTACCTAATGATCAATCAAGTATCAATGTTTAATCTTTTTTAATATGGTTAATCCGAATATTATTTCAATTTTTTTTATCTCATAGTGGTGGGCCCGACCAGCACGTCAGGGTAGCAGCTACAGTCGGGATAGATGAACGTGTAATCGGTCACTGTACCATATTACATAATAAAGTTGATTGAAATGATATGCTTAAAGTAGATATTAGATTCATTCAACAAATATTAAGAATAGTCAGTATGGGGTTGTGGAGATTATTAAGTTTTTGATTGAGATGATGAACCGATTGATGTTAGACCACCACTGAAAACCTAGAAGCACTGGACGACCGTTCCGTCCTATTGTGGCACTCCTCAGCAGTGCGCATCCACGATCCCGCTTACGGGAACTGAGCCGGCATCCAACGGTATTAATGTCTAATTTCAACCAATCCACGAATGTGCGTGACCATCTTCCACTGCACTGACGTAGATACCTGTCTCTATCCGATACACTACGAATAAATTAAGTAATAAATTAGTGATCAGATTTCTTGTGTATGATTTTTATGGTGAAAAAATATTCAACTGTAATAAAAAAAGATCACACAACTTACTTTATAAGCTTCACCTTGTTCAGTTTGGTCTGACAATCGATTGGGAGATAGTAAACGAGGGTTTGGAAAGAAAAAATACATAAGAATATAATGTTCTAATTCGCCAAAAACTGTCTGCATTAAATGTATGCAGTATTTATTTAGACACGTAAACATTGGTACAAGGAGGCACAAAACAAATATGCGCCACATAACTCACTTAATTTGTGTGTAGGCTGTGATATTCTGACAGGATGCCCAACCCGAAACAGGTGGTCTTCTAAGGGGGGCCACACCCAGAGCCTTTAACCAAAAGGTCTAATCCACAAAGCAGTGAAATACCATAAGGAGATGCAGTCCCATGGTAGCCGGTGACCAACAATAGTCAATCAGTAACGACGTAGAACTTCGTACGTACGTACATCAGTTCGAGTTGCCATACAACATTACCACACAGATACAATTGTCGATTCAAATCTCATAGTGGTACAGGTAGTAAAAGTATAAGCAGTAATCGAAAACATTAGGGTTTGAAGATGTTATTCAAGGAGTATAATCTAGTGAAATAAATTTAGAAAGAGAAAAAAAGAGACATGAAGATTTCAGAAGATTAGGATTTGGGAGAACACAAAAAGTAAATGTCATTTGTTTCCTTAGGATCCTGGAGCCCATGTACACCACTGGTTTGAGATGAGGGTTCTCCAACTCCCCTAGGTGGATCCTCTGTATCCACCAAATGTATGCAGAAATATAACCCTTTATATCTAGGACTCAACTTTAAAGAGGACAACACAGAGAAGGTGACATTTTGCACACGTCAAGTTACAAGATCTATTCAGAGGATATTAAACGTCATCAAGTTACATTTGATCTTCACAAATGAAACAGTACTTAAACAGAGAATTAAGGCTAGCTTATTGATGACAGACTCTTTCGTGTATATATGCGAAATGAACTGTTCTTGTGAAGCTAGTGACATAGTCTATACACACATGACTTTATCCCTAGGTGTTTGTGAAGATGTATTGGAATGGTTCAGAAAGATGTTACAAAATCTATTATTAATAGCCCTCCCATTGTTTTTCATTTAGTACGTGTCAGTGAATATCATATTGAAATAGATGAAGATTTCTCAACAGTCTATTGTTATTACTTCTTCATATCCACTAAATAAATAATTATCTCTCCTCAACAAAATATGTTAACAAATTTTCATTATTACAGTTTTTAGTCACGAACTGATTTTAGCTAGACTACCCTTGAAAATCTAGAAGCGCTGAACGATCACTTCGTCCTAGTATGGGACTCCTCATTGGTAGTGCACATCCACAACTATGCACCCAAGGATTATATGCAGTACCTCCAGCTTCACAAACGAATACCATTCAGTCAGCAACAAACGGTAGAATATATCCGACTCCAATGAATGGTAAAAACGTTAAATACCGATGGCCTTGAGTTGGCCAATCAGGATCAAGATAACGTCTGATGTATTCTGCGTGAAATTTGAGCATAGTCAGTTGGTAACAAACAATTCTATTGGGTGATAACTTTAACTCGCAAAACTAGTCCGACTCCCATTATGTAAACTTGGCCGTTTCCCTTTAATATAAAGGATAATTTGATATGTGAGAGTTAATTATTTAAATCAAAGTTGTTATTACGGTTTGTATTTATGATTGTCTTGTAAATGGGAAGTGCTTTTTTTATTGGCTGATAAGTTAACCAACACTGCCAGTGTAGTATACTTGAACGCAATAAACTTATGACATTATACAGCCCCCGAATGCCCTGGTACGGCCGAGAGTGGGAAGAATCCGCTCTCCTTCTCGAAATGCTCTCACATGGCCACGCGTACATAGCCTCTGCCAGGGAAGTTCCACTCATTGCCTTTCCGTGGCTGGGGGGTTGTTTACAAAATTGAAAGGATGAAAAGCGGATGTCCGGCGCTTTAACCGGGTTGGTAGACATAGAGAGTCCATCTAGGGGAGTTGGAAAACCCTCATTCCAAACCAATGGTGCACATGGGCTCCAGTATCCTGAGGGAAAAAATGGCGTATAAACCAGTCGTTGGTCACCGGCTACCATGGGACTGCATCTCCTTACGATGCTCCACTGCCTTGTGCATCAGACCTTCAGGTCGAAGGCTCCGGATGTGGCCCCCTAAGAAAACCACCTGTTTCGTTTTGGACACCCGGTCAGTATCACAGCCCTCACACATACCAAATGAGATTTATGTGGCGCATATGTATTTGGTGCCTCCTTGTACCAATATCTATGTGTTAAAATAAATAATAAATAAATAAATGACATTATACTACTATCTACTAATAACCGAGGTGGATCATTGTCTACTAACACCTGACACAATTGAACTTCATTGCTTATGGCTTTATTAGGTGTTAGATCATTACATAACCTTCTTTGTATAACTAGTATTTCTAATCAATTTATTAATTCCTTCTTAATGTTCTCCTATCTTTAATTTGTTTCTATTTTGACCTATTACATAATTTTTTGTTGTTGAATAATTGAAGGCATTTTAGATGGGTGATACAATATTTTTCTATTTTATTATAGACTAATGTATTCAAACTAATTATACGGTATTGTTGGAGAGAAAATTCCCTATGCTGAATTGTTTACCTAAGTTCACACACAAGACCGAAAGTCCTGGGTTTGAGTACCGTATTAGGGATCGTGGATGAGCACTACTGAGGAGTCTCGTACTAGGACGAGACGGTCGTCCAGTATTTCCAGGTTCTCAGTGATGGTCTAGTTTAGATCGAATAATAAATTCAATTATTAAAATAATTTGTTTGTTTGACTGCTATTCACTTTCACGTTCAATGAATTGTTATCCGAAATGAGAATGTAGTTGGTGGGTTGATAAAATTAGTCTCGTTATAAATGACTGTACCACCTACTCACATTATTTCATTCCCCATCACCACGTGTTGGGTATGCCTGAACATCGATTACCACGACGCGCAATACTGATTAGTGTTGGGGATCGTTGGAAGAAAGTTAGTGGAGGCCAAACCAAAACGTGTCATTAATGCTTGAAGTCAATAACTTCTGGTCTCGGCCATGTTGGTAGATGCAAACTACTTGTTTGAGGGTCCTTGTAACAATTGTAACCAATGGTTGGAGACTCTAGGTGACATGGCTCAAAATCGATCACAATGGCGTCCATGTATACACTCTCTGTCTTCCCTTAAACTAAGAGATTAAAATCGCTTCATATCTTTCTTTCTACGCACTAATTCTTTCTTCCTGTACTATATCCTTATACACAATCTTTCTTTCATATATTACCATCATTGAATTAACTACTTCTATGAATCCGGTGTTAATTTTGTTGTGCTAATGCGTTATGGCAACTTGTACCGGTACATATATGTGCCTGGTCCTACGTTGTAGCTGACTGACTGATCCTATCACTAATCGATCGATAATGAATCTTTATTGACTGAGGTAGCTTAGATGAGTGTTATGTATATTAAACCACTGTTTTCTTCAACGTTCATTGTCGACTAAAGTAGGAGTAAATATGAGAAGAATTAGAGGGAGCTAAATCAAAGCAAAACAAAACGAACCAACTTGGTATCAACCAATGAAATTATTGACTGTCAATTTGTTTTATACTAGTTAGTACTTAATACCTAGTTAGAGTCTAAAAGATAACTGTGACTAATGTTCGAATACATTCAATATTTCAAAGTTATTCTCTAGTGAGTTAATAATTTCTACAAAATTACTTAAGGCTATATCGAGGCAATCCATACAAGATGCATATATGCCAACATGAGACTGATCAATTGCAGTCCTAAATAACAATCGGTAAGTACAAGTAAAACAATATCAAGTGAATTTAAACTTCATCCTATTGCACAAGCCAATGGCTATCAGGACTCAGTAGCAACTAAGTGGATAACGCGATGGCGTTTGAAGCGGACAGTATTGGGTTCGAGTCCCAGAGTGAACATCAACTCTGAGGTGCAGGCACATTCAGCTGACGAGTCCTAAATACGACGAAACGCGAGTCCTGGATCCCACTATCCATCTTTACTCAAAAAGAGCTTGTGACTTAAGGCTATACCGAGGCAATCCGTACAGGATACACATATGCCGACATGAGACTGATCAATTTCAGTCCTTAATACCAATGGGTAGGTACAAGTAAAAAAACACCAAGTGAATTTAAATTTACTTTAGATTGCATTCAATATATGCATGAAACTTACCCATCTCATTATCAACATCGTCACCAATATTCTTTTGTTGACTTTTATGCAAAGTAGTGTGTTTTTGGTCGACTTGTTGTAATACGGGTGATGATGATGATTGTTGTCGACTAAGTACACCATCTGAAATCGGTCTGTTTTTAGCATTCAACTTAGCTAAATGAATACGCCAAACTGTATTACAATTACGTATACGATAAGATAATTCACGATTACATAACATTAAGAAACCAAGTGATGTTAATGGTAAATAACACAATATTTCACACTAAAAAAAAGAGCAGATGACATGAAATGATAAGTAGGAGATTTATGAACGGAACATGCTATTGAAGGGAGTCAACCATGAAATTACTCTCAAGGCTTTGGCCTATATATTCTTGTCGAAGTCAAAAGGAGAATCACATATGTATATACATTGTGCACACATTAGATCTTGATTGGGTAATTAAACCTTTCTGATCTTTTGCATAGTGAATTTGGTATACTGTGGGACTTGAATCGAACTTAATGATACAACAAATGGACACAATTCATATGTTACCCTATTGAAACTATTTATCAAAAGCATTGGCATATTATGTTCATAGTTTTTTGTTCCATACTATTTCGCAACTGAGAAGTGTTCCCTGAGTACGACAGTGGGCATACTAATTTAAAAAGGCGTGATTTTATATAAACACGGAAATGTTGATAAAATCATTTAATATTGTAGACAGTTTTCACTATAGATTGATCACATTTTGGATGTTGTCAACAATTAGGGAGCACTGAAAAACGGTTTCGTTTCAGTATCAGATCCCTCAGCAATGCACACCCACGACCCCAATGATATTCGAATCTAGAATCTTTATGTTTCGCAGTGAACGCCTTCTATGTTTGAAAAGATTACAAGTTCACCTAATTCTGCGAATGGAACAAAGACTTAGTGACACAATGACCAAATAAGCTAACTATTCCGATGCGTCCCAACTCCGCTAACTACAGAGAGAAGTCCAGGTTTAGAAAGGGGTGAATGTATTCCACAAGCAGCTAGAAGCACGAACAACAATCACAAGCACAATTCAAGCGTATATATACAGCATAAGAATGTCCTTGACAAAAGTTCATATTAAAAGAGACAACAAATTAATGACATTTAAGATCCTCCCAAGTGAGAAATACGATATGAAGGTGAAAATGGGCGTCTTTTGGCCCGAAAACAAGAAATTCAAAGTTCCGAAATAAAATTACAAAAATAAGATACCTACTAAGTGAGTTCTGAAGATCTAACATCCCTAACCACGCCTACCTGCTAGAATTAGTAAACAAGGGATTAGTGGTACAATTTTAATCGATTAAATATCGGTTTGAGTTCATATAGAACAAGTTTTTTCAAACTGAAATCAGTATGATATAGGAAATTGTGAATGATATTGGTTGGAATTAATTATAGTAGTATAGAAGCGTTTATAATACTTTTTCCAAGTATTCTCAATTAATTTCGGAGGTCTTAATACTCTGTATTCTATAATTACTGTTTTCAGATACCGATATAGTCCACCCCCATTTTATCGATTATCATGTATGTAAGTGATTTTGTGTAAAAAAATTAGGGTAATTCCAAGGTAATTATTTTTTAAAATTGATCTTAATCATAGAGTCATTTGTAAATTAACTATAAGGTAGTATAGGAGTAGTATTTAATAGTTCTTCAGTAGTGGGTATCTTTATAACCTTGTACAGTTTATTTATTTAAATACAAACATTGGTACAAGGAGGCACCGAATAGATATGTGCCACATAAATCATTCGATTTATGTAAGGGCTTGGATACTGACCGAGTGCCCAAACCGAAGCAGGTGCTTTTCTTAGGGGGCCACATCTCGAGCAGACTCTCCCCACTCTCAGCTGTACCATGGCATTTGGAGGTAAGGACTCTAGGCTTCTCATACCGGTCAACACGTCATTGGTTTGGCACAGTGCCAAGGTTGTATAAGTTATTCTGGTTGCGGGATCTTATCACATGATAATCAACCAGATAAAGGTCATAACAAATATTGAGTCTTAAAACTATCTTATAGTTTTTATTCAATAAATTAATCTCTAGATTTAATCTTTTTGTTTAGTATCATAGATATTACTGAAATGGTATGATAAATTGAACAGATGAACATTTATAGCAGAAATTTAAACAGTTAAGATCACGAGTCAATTGAAGCCAGACCACCATGGAAAACCTGGAAGCACCGGACGGCCGTTTCGTCCTATTGCGGGACTCCTCAGCAGTGCGCAGCCACGACCCCGCCTCGCGGTGTCCGAACCCAGGACCTGTCAGTCTCGTGCCAGGCGCTTAACCAACTAGACCAGTGAGCCGGCATCCAACGGTGTTAATGTCTAAATTGAATTAATCCACGAAATTGAGCGACACACCCACCATTACTACCTCGCAACTGACCCGTTTATAGCAGACTTTAGCATGACTCTGACTGATTAGTATAAATGAAGTGGAATGAATTTTTGGGAGAGACTACGATATGTTAACGAACCAATCAGATTTAAGATAACAGATCTTGGATTTTGGCGCGAAATTCACTCATCTATATGGATAAATAAAGTTTTAGCATAATAGCTGATGTTAATTTGTGATGAAAACCCTAATTCTAATTTCTAACGTTAAAAATCAATTGTAAACTATAATCCTTATTCTTTATACAGGTTTATAGCCCTCATTTCGGTCCTAGTACATAAATGGACATTCTCAAAGTTACACTAGCGTCACATAAAGGTCATCCCATTAATGACAGTCTCACTGACCGTACCATATAAATGAATATTATGTATATATCTTTATATCAATCACTTACAAATAATTCACTTGGAAGAGTACATAAATGAAGTCTTGGAGATAAATTATATTCTGAAAAATATAAAAACGAAGATGGAATATAACTAAAAAAAACATACATAACAATTTCTTGAACGTAAGACCTTCAAATCAAGTGACAAACATTATTTATAGCAAGATCATCGATGAGAATTCTGAAAGAGTTCCATATTAGAATAAAAACAAGTTTTCTGGTATTCTCTGATTTAAATGATGTCCCAATCTGTGACAAATACAAACAATGAAATACTCACAGTCCTATTTCATGTCCCCCCCCAATGCTCTGGTATGGTCAAGAGTGGGGGGAGTTATATCTCCCTCTCGAAATACTCTCACATGACCACGTGCATACAACCACTGTCAGCGAAGTCCAACTCACTGCCTTCTCGCGGTGGGGGTAATGTTTACGAAGTGGACAGGATGGAAAGCGAGTATCCGGCGCTTTAACCGGGTTGGTGGACACAGAGGCTTTACCTGGGGAACTTGGAAAACTCTCATTCCAAACCAATGGTGCACATGGGCTCCATCATCCTGAGGGAACAAGTAGCGTATGAACCAATTGTTGGTCACCGGCTTCCATGGGACTGCATCTCCTTACGATGTTCCACTGCCTTGTGAATTAGACCTTTAGGTCGAAGGCTCGGGGTGTGGCTCCCTAAGAAAACCACCTGCTTCGGTTGGGGTACCCGAGTAGTATCACAGCCCTCACACATATCAAATGAGATTTGTGTGGCGCATATGTATTTGGAGTCTCTTTGTACTAATATTTATGTGTTTAAATAAATAATAAGGTGAACAGAAATGTACCAAAATGGTTTTATTTTCACCTCATTCGGATTATTTAAAGCTAAATTGTGTTAAAAAGGGGAACGAAACAAGTCATTTTCTTTGAATATGGTCTTATATTGTAAATTATTATTACCAATTCTCTCTCTTGCTGCCTGTTATCCGCTTATTTATTTACTTAAACACATAAACATTGGTACAAGAAGGAACCAAATATATATGCGTCACACTTCACCATCGATTTCTATGAGCAATGGAATACTGCCCGGGTACCTAAACGGAATTAGATGATTTTCTTAAGGGACCATCCCCCGAATCCTTGACCTAGAAGTCTAATTCACAAGGTAGAGAAGTGACATTAGGAGATGGATTCTCATTGTGGCCGGTGACCAACAATAGGTTCATCATAAGCCAGTTGTTTCCTTAAGATCCTGGAGTCTACGTACACCGTTAGTTTGGAATCCGGGTTTTCCAACTTCCCTAGGTGGTAAGTCCGTGTCCACCAACCCGGTTAAAGTACCGGACGTTTGCTTTTCGTCCTCCCAATTTCGTAAACAACACTCCCGCCACGAGAAGGCTATGAGTAAAACTTCCCTGACAGTGGCTGTATATGCATGGCCATGTGAGAGAATTTTGAGAGAGAGAGAGAGTGAACTTTCCCCACCTCCTACCAGGGTAGAGATGTGTATTCAATGTTTGTCTTCCTTTAAATTCTAAGTTTTGAAAATTACTTTGTACTTTTAATTTAGTGAACTAATTCACTCCGCTAAAAGCATATTCCCTAGGTTCAATTTTTTTCTACTACTACTGCTGATGTTTCCACAACTCATCTTGACAGTTTTATCACATCATGTGCTAGAGCAGTATGATAACTTGAACCGATTCATATGTGGACAACGTCTTATATTGCTTATTACTAACATTTACGGTTGTATAGTTATTAAAATAAACCACACACCCGAATTTCTCTCTCTGTCGTCTGTCGGTTATTTTCAATGAAAGTTTTTGTAAATTCCTTGCTGAAGTCTTCAGTAACTAAGAAAAAGTTTAAAAAATACATCACCCAATCAACATCCAGTGGAAAGTTCCTAGAAACCTCTGGAGAAAGTGATGAGTTATATATCATATTCTGATTAAATGAATACCGACTTAAGCTTCTAAAATACCAAGGTTACATATAAAACCCATAAATATTCTTGTTTTCTGTACTCAAACTATTTATTTATTTTAACACATAGATATTGGTACAAGGAGGCACCAAATACATATGCGCAACACAAATCTCATTCGACATGTGTGAGAGCTGTGATACTGCCCGGGTGCCCAAACAGAGGCAGGTGGTTTTCTTAGGGGGCCACATCCGGAGCCTTCGACCTGAAGGTCTGATGCACAAGGCAGTGGAGCATCGTAAGGAGATGCAGTCCCGTGGAAGCCGGTGACCAACAATTGGTTCACACGTCAGTTGCTTCCTTAGGATCCTGGAGTCCACGTACACCGTTAGTTTGAAATCCGGGTTTTCCAACTTCCCTAGGTGGCAAGTCCGTGTCCACCAACCAGGTTAAAGTACCGGATGTTTGCTTTTCGTCCTCTCATTTTCGTAAACAACACCCTCGCCACGAGAAGTCAGTGAATAGGACTTCCCTGGCAGAGGCTATATACGCGTGGCCATGTTTGAGCATTTCGAGAGGGAGGGCGGACTCTCCGCACTCTCGGCCGTACCAGGGCATTTGGGGGCACTCAAACTAGTATTGAAAGTAGAAATTCTCTTCATTCCCCCCTATCATTTAGCTTTTGCTCAAAGTTCAAATGGTAAGAGATTTGTAGGGGACTATTAAGGAAATAATTAAAAAGTTAATGATGTTAATGGGGGAGACTATAATTTATGAACGAATCAACCAGATTTAAGATAACAGGTCTTGAATTTCAGCGCGAAATTCACTCATCCATTTAGATAAATAGAGTCCTGGCATTATAGCTGATGTTAGTTCGTGATAGAGACCCTAAATTCAATTCTTAACCCTAATCATCAACTATAAATCATAATTCTAATTCCTCTCACTGGTTTATAAGCCTTATTTGGTCCTAGTTAGTAGGTGAAGATTCCCAAGGTCAGTTTGGCGTCGCTCGAAGATCGTCCATACATTATAATCTCACCATGTTAAACATTTATGTACTAAATGAATTAAAGACGGAAATATTAAAAAAGAAAACATTTATCTACCTGAATGAATAGCCAATAGTATAGGTTCAATTAATTCATCTTTAATTCGTATAGATAACAATCGTAAATGTCTGTATAGAAGATTTAATTTATACATAGTAGCTAAATTAAGCATACATACAAATGAAGAGAGACACACAAAGAGAGGATTGTTAGAAAAGATACAAGTTATGAAAAGGAATAGGCAACTAGAAAGACAAATAATACAACGTATAAACCAAGTTTGTCTTTCCAATCCAATGAGAAATACTCTAAAAAAAATCGAAACGCAAAGGGATCACTGAAACGATCTTAGAGAGGTTCCTGTTTATTTAATCGTTCTACACCTAACCCTTAGACAATAAATGGAGTCTCTTCAACCCCAATATCTTGCGAATAGTTTTACTTAATGAGTTGAATGAATGAAATCACATTAGATAATCATAATAGTTTATCATCTTACTAGAATATAAAACAATATCATAGGTATTAGTTATTTCATAAACAAACAAAACAATATTGTAGGGCATCTAATCTCTTAATCTTGTGTATTGATAAACTTAAAAGTGTGAAGTTTTGAAAAGTGATGTTGTAATGTAGCTAAGTTAAAGAAATGAACTCGGTGTTTTGAATTTCAGCTGGAATAAATATCAATGGATCGACTTCTAGTTCTAAGGTGTTCATGTGTCAACTTTTTCTGTCTTGATGACATTATTAGTCTTATTCTGTAACATTAGATCTCGATCGTTGTTGCTACCTTGATGTGGTGATAGGGCTTGCCTATCATGGTGAACCAACCGAGCTATACTGGCTACAACAATTGTTCCTCAAGGTCCTATTATGTCAGACAGGTCGGTTGAAGAGCGGTAAGACTAAAAGCAACAAACCTAAGGTCCGAAGGCGAAGTCGTACTGCTGACTGTACAGAGGTGTGACGGCAGTAAGGTGGTTCCTTCAGACAACTAGCAGGACAGCGATGCTACCTGCCTACAATGACGGTTGAAGTTAGAAAAGGTCGACCCTAAAAATGCACACCTCACCCTATCCCACAGATATCCGTCTCCGGCGGTAAGGTCTCAACAAGTACGGAGCTAACACGAAAATTACTCACAAAAATGTCGTGCGTGACCGACCTCAAACAGTTGTCCCTTGGGCACTGAGGTCACGCTCTCAAGGTCACTAAGACCACCTCTAATCCAATTTCCTTTTCAGGTACCTCCAGAAGAACCCTTCCACGGTGTGGGCAACCGGGAAGTGATAATTGCCCTCATATCTCTAACAGCACTCAAGACCATCGACTGACTGTATTATTAGATGATTAGATGTAACTAGTGAGAAACCCTACTTGATTTAGGTCTGATCCTAGTTACCATTTGTCATCAAGTCAAACTTGAAATCTTGAAAGAGTTAATGCTCTATATTAGATTTAAAAAACCTATTATTCAGCTTTACAGTCTGAAATAACAACGCCATCGATTTATCCGGTCCAGGGATGAGTACTAAGTAGCTATCAATCAAACGTATTTTACGATTCATTAACACTGAATTTGAATATAGTTATTCAATATTATTTGAAGTGAATGATAGTTAAGTTGGTTGAAAACTCATTATTTAAAAATTATTTCACTTACAATACTCTTTCAACAAAAAAAGAGACTAAATCATTGTTTATGGGGTCAGTGATACCAGGATGGAATATCCTGGCGGTTGGTTACTCAATGGAAGCTCAAACTAGAACACATTATTTGAACAATTTTCAACTAATCAGTTTTAGTAAATGGATTGAGCTATTTCTGTGAATCCCACATAAACTCTTTGATTTTTACTACCAATAACTTCTCCTGGAGCCCTTACAAAGCTAATGCCAGTCCAAAACCCAAGTAGAGAATACCTGAGAATGGGGTTAGCAACCTTATTCGATAAAAAAAGGTAACCAGAAAAATCCTTTAAACCAATTGAAAATGCAGACGTTCACCATTTCTAACATGTAACATAGACAAATTCATTAATACATGCCTTATTTCTGGCCTTTGCAAAATATCACAGAGTAATTATGAACTTATTTATTTATTTCAACACAAAAACATTGGTACAAGAAGGAACCAAATATATATGCATTACACTTTACCATTCAATTTGTGTGAAAACTGGAGTACTGCCCGGGTACCTAAACGGAAGTAGGTGATTTTCTTAGGGGACCATTCCACAAGTCTTTGACCCAGAAGTCTGATTCACAAGGTAGAGGAGCGACATTAGGAGATGTCGTCTCATGGTGGCCGGTCACCAACAATTGGCTCATACGCCATATTCTCCCTCAGGATACTAAAGCCTATGTACACCATTGGTTTGGAATGAGAATTTTCCAACTCACCTAGGTGAACCCTCCATATCCACTAAACCAGTTGAAGTGCCGGACATTCTCTTTTCGTCCTCCCATTTTCATAAAAAACACCCCCACTGCGATTAGGACTTCCCTGGAATTGGCTGTCTACGCGTGACCATGTGAAAGCATTTTGAAAAGGAGAGCGGACTCTCTCCACTATCCATCGTACCAGGGCATTTGGGGGCCTGATGATGAAGTCATTGTTCAGTCAAATATTCTTTGTTTTTCAACATTTGTATAGAACAAAAACGTATAAAATGCTTTTCGAGCATAAGGATAATAATATCTACATGCAAAAAAGTCTGTTAACTACTGAAAACTGATTTTGACATACATTTAACACAAGGAAAACATATCAAAATACTAACTACATCATATCCCCTTTAAAAAAGGGAATACTATGACGAAAGATTCACTTACATTGGTGTATGGCATCTTGCTTGATAAGATAAAGTTTTGTTTGTAAAATTAATTGTTTTCGAATAGGAAGATCTTGAACACTTGCTTAAAGAGAATAGAAATGTAACAAAGAAAAAAAACAGAGAAATGGCATTACTACTAGTACTTTAACGAACAAGTACACATGTGGAGACAACAGTCAGTCAGCAACAACGTAGAACCTCTTACGTACGTACATCAATTCGAGTTGCCATAACACATTAGCACACAGATGCAATTGTCGATTCAAATCCCATAGTGGTAGAGGTAGTAAAAGTATTTTGGTAAAACATGAAAACCATAGATTCAATACTTTATTTGCAAATCCTCCATCAATTGTCTCAATTTTCATCGTTCCTTCATTGTTATTACAATTACTGTCTGTTCTCATTCTCATCGATTCGATCTTCTCAGCCTTCTGCCGCCAGGCATTCCACTTCTGACTAGCGTTATATGTTACTTATGTCGACATAAGTAGCATAAACCACATTGCCACTACTGGATACAAAATAATGGTTAGGTAGTGTGACAATATTTTAGCTATCTGGTTAGATTTCCCGAGATGTTAGAATTCTTTGTTTTAAATGATATAAGTAATATAATGTAATTCACAGGTTACAATGGCACAGATCAATTTTCTCAGTATATTCCATTTCATTTGGATTTACTTATATTTTTCTTCTTAATTGGTTTACTGTTGATTCTGTGCTCTCTGTTGTGACCTTTCTACATCCAGTAAAACGTACGGGAGTCATCTGTTGAATCTCTTCAACAAGTGTTCAAGGATAATTGAAGCAAACAGTTACTATTATCAGCTAGTTCGCCTGTGGCGTCAAAAGACCCACGTAAACGTTGTTCAGCTTGAATTGTTCTACCTACTTAGGGATAAAAAATCAACGATTAAGATTAGTACGTTTCTGAAGGTTAAGAGCTTCTTATAAAATTCAATGTTTACTTTCTTAGTGATGCAGTCAGCAGAGTCGTAGGTAGGGATGGAGAAAAGATAACGAGGTGTCTCCAACTTTTTGAGTTTGTAGAGGAGTCTCATAAGATAAGGAATAATATTTCAAGACTTGAAATTCTTAACATTCATAGCACGTATGAAGCAAGTCGAAGACAGGGGAGGAGGAGGGCTAATAGTGGAAATAAAAGAAATAATACGAAGTGAATAAGGATATTCGTTTTGAACATGAGCTTGAGTGCTTATCGCCCTACTGCTATTTAACCGACTGTCCTAGAATGGTATTACTTCTGAAAAAAGACACAGTATATATCGACTGCACTGATAGGCAAACCTGATCATCACGTAAATTTAGCAGCTACGACCGAGAAGTTTTATGACGAGTAAATTTTGAACTTTATACACATATCGTATCATGTTGGTCTGATACAGGGACTTGGACTAATATACATTTGTGTCAGACTCCATTGGTGATTACCACTGATTAATTTAAGTAACATAATTAATCGAAACTGATAGGTTATGGGTTGGAATCTCGTGAGGTGGGATCGGGGATGTGCACTGCTGAGGAGTCCATACTAGGACGAAACGGCGCCCAGTGCTTCCAGGTTTTTCATGGTGGTCTAGCCTCGACTGACTCATAAAATCAATTATTAAAATTACTATAATATTCAAAAAGCCCTCTCTGATTATAATCATTATATGCTCACTAGTGACGGCGAAAAAATAATTTATAGATGAACCAATCACAAATAAGATAACAGGTCTTGGATTCTGGCGCGAAATTCACTCATCCATTTGGCTAAATAAATTTCTTGCATTATAACTGATATCAGTTCGTGATGAAAACCCGAAATCTAATTTTTAACCTTAACTGGTCTTAGTTATCAGGTGAACACCCTCAAGGTCATTTTAGCATCGCCCAAAGGTCGTCCATAAATTATAGTCTCACCCTAGTGACGATCCCCGATAGGTATTTTCCGGAGTTCTAGTGAGAAATAGTGACTAGTGGAGTTCAACCAGGTCTGTTGTGAGATAGTAACTCACTGATGACAATGGTGGACGGTGGTGCAACTTTATGGATTGGTTGAAGTTAGACATTAACACCATTGGATACCAGTTTAGTGATCTGGAGGTTAAGCGCTCATGAGGTAGAATCGTGGATGCACACTGTTGAAAAGTCCTATACTATGACAAAACAGCTATTCAATGTTTCCAGGTTTTCCATAGTAATCTAACTTCAATTGATTCATGAATTCAACTATTAAAAATCACTTATAATATCCACAAAAACCCCTCCTCTGATTATAGTCATCATATACACACTAGACCCCCGAATGCCCTGGTACGGCCGAGAGTGTGGAGAGTCCGCTCTCCCTCTCGAAATGCCCAAACATGGCCACGCGTATATAGCCTCTGCCAGGGAAGTCCTACCCACTGCCTTCTCGTGGCGGGGATGTTGTTTACGAAACTTAGAAGAAGAAAAGCGAATGTCCGGCGCCTTAACCGGATTCCAAACCAATGGTGCACAGGGACTCTAGTATCCTGCGGGAACAAATGGCGTATGAACCAATCGTCGGTCACCGGCTACCATGGGACTGCATCTCCTTACAATGCTCCACTGCCTTGTGCATCAGACCTTCAGGTCGAAGGCTCCGGGTGTGGCCCCCTAAGAAAACCACCTGCCTCTGTTTGGGCACCCGGACATTATCACAGCTCTCACACATATCAAATGAGATCTGTGTGGCGCATATGCATTTGATGCCTCCTTATACCAATATCTATGTGTTAAAATAAATAACTAAATAAATAAATAAAATATACACACTAGTGACGGTCTTCAAGAGATATTTTCCTGAAGTTGTAATAAGAAGCCATGACTAGTGAAATCCAATCAAGTCTGTTGTGACATAGTAACTACTCAATGATAAAAAATAAAGTAGTATAAAATCCATAGAAATTTACCAGCAATACAAGTCATATTTCCATTTTGAAATAATGTAAATATCAATTTAATAGAATCAACTTGAGGATAATTAAATGTTAAACGTATAATTGATGACATCTCCTGATAGTATTGACTTAGATGATCTAAAGTCTAAAGAAAAAACAAAAAAGACGGTCAATATTACACATAACATGATCATATACTTACATATAAACCTTTCTCAATAGCGAATATATACAAAGGAATAGCCATTAATAGAATAGATATATAATGTTGATCATTAGATAGATTATCATTGATGAATTTCAGAATAGGTGTAGCTAACTATTAAAAAAGAAATAAAGTATATAATGAAATAATCATGGAAACTATACTTCAATTTCTAAGGATTGTTTTATATCATCTAATTTTTCCAATGAATTAATATAGATTATATCACCATTAACAATACCAAGTTCTGATAGAGATTGATTTGAATAATTTATATTGTAATAATCTTTTGCATTAAGACTTATTTGAACATTTTCTCTGAATAGATAAAAAGAAAGAAAGAAAACAAAAGTATCCATATAATTATTGAGTCATAATGAACATTTGAAATGTGATAACCGTTAGTTAGAATAAATAATGCCCACAAGTGTCCTGATATGACCGAGAGTGGGGAAAATCAGATCTCTTTCTCAAATGCTCTCAAGTAGCCACGTGCATACAACCACTTCAAGGGAAGTCCTACTCACTGTCTTCTCGTGGCATTACTGTTGTTTATGAAATTGAAAGGATGAAAAGCGAATATCCGGCGCATTAACCGGGTTGGTGGAGACGGAGGGTCCATCGGGGGAGTTGGGAAACTCTCATTCCAAACCAATGGTGTACATATGCTCCAGATTCCTGAAGGAAAAATGGTGTATGAACCTATTACTGGTCACCAGCTGCCATGAGACTGCATCTCCTCGATGTTGCTTCACTGCTTTGTGGATCAGACCTTTAGGTCAAAGGCTCGGAGTGTGGCCCCTAATAAAACCACCTGCAGTGGGGTTAGGCAGGGTTGCTCAATCTCACCATTCCTCTTCAACTTTGCCATCGATGACATTCTGGAAACAGCTCTAATGGATGTAAGTAATGGTGGTGTGGATCTGTTGTCTGGAGAAAGACTTCTCGACCTTGAGTATGCGGACGATATTGTCTTACTGTGCGATAATGCCCAAGGCATGCAATCCGCACTTAATCAGTTGGCAATCAGTGTCCGTAGGTATGGTATGTGCTTTGCACCTTCGAAGTGCAAAGTACTTCTACAAGACTGGCAGGATTCTGATCCTGTACTCATCCTGGATGGTGAGCAGATAGAAGTAGTCGAGAAGTTCGTGTATCTGGGTAGCTGCATAAGTGCTGGTCGGGGTGTGAGTGATGAGATCAATGCACGTATAGTGAAAGCCAGAGCGGCTTATACCAATCTGGGCCATCTTTGGCGCCTTCGTGATGTTAGTCTGACTGTAAAAGGTCGGATCTACAACGCGTCGGTGAGAGCAGTTTTGCTCTACGCTTGTGAAACCTGGCCTCTCCGAGTTGAGGACGTTAGTATCCTAACCCTTACACAAATCGAATAATTTATGTGGCGCATACCTGTTTGGTGCCTTGTTGTACCAATGTTTATGTGTCTAAATAAATAAATAAGAATAAAGAATACTCGAACGTGACACATATTTTTGTCCTATCTATTCATTTATTTGGATACAAATATTGGTACAAAGGGTCAGTGAATACATATACGCCAAACAAGTCACTTGATTTGTGTGTGAGCTGTGGTACTCTGCTCGGATATCCAGACCGGGGCAGGTGGTTTACTTGGGGAGCCACATCCGAAGCCTTTGACCTGAAGATCTGACCCACAAGGCAGTGAAGCAGCGTTAGGAGATGCAGTCCCATGGAAGCCGGTGATCAATAATTGGTTTATACGCCATTTATTCCCTTAGGATACTGTAGCCCATGTGAACCATTGGTTTGGAATCAGAGTTTTCCAGATCCCCTAGAAGGATCCTCCATATCTATATCCTATCAGCCCAAAATGTTTTCGAGCCATTACAAAATGTAGAAGACTGACAAAGCAGTAATAAAACTGGGATTAGATTTTCATGAGTCATACTAGGACAACGACAACTACAGATATTATTATATGAAAGTGCTCAAAGAAGAGCAATGAAAACGGTAGCTACAACCGATTGAATTTGACCAATTATTGAAAAGAGTTCAATACAATGGAACTTGGGTTTAGAAACTATTTACGATTTAAGCTTGTGCATTCAATACCGGAAATGACAGACATTTGATTAACGTTTTGTGATGTTCATACATCTTCCAACTAGAATTGATAAAACCATAAATAATTTAAGCTTTTTTAACCAAAATATCAAGGCAATATGTAATGGAATGCATATTGACTTGAGGGATGGAAACAGTTGTATTGCATGAAGTTTAGATCTTTATGTGTAATCACATTTTAGATCTTGATAACCTTCATTTCTAGACCAGTAACTCATTTCAGCCTAGGTTTTATGAGAATGATGAACAAATATTGTACTGAAGTATGATAATGATTCACATTTTTAACGTCAGCCAAAACGTGATTGATGTCTACGCTCTTCAGTAGTGTTTTATAACATCAACAGTATTATGCATAACTACAAGTACTTATCCAAAAATGCAAAGGAGAGGAATGAAAGCGGCAGTTGTAACCAACTGGATGTAAAAAAAAGAGAACAATAACGAAGAGATTGGTGTAAGGTAGTGCAGTAATAATAATAATAATGAGGGAACGGAAAGGTACAATCAGAAGAAACGTTTCAGTTAAGGGAGACACAACCACTTTTTATGAAAAAAGTAAAAGAAGGTTACAGCAGGATCGCCACTGGCTTCTATTCTGAGCCATATCTGATAACGTCTCTAGCCACTGTGTTGCACCATCTCTCGGACCCCAACCACGGAGTCGTGAAGAACCGACAGAAGCCAGTCCTTTGCAGCTTTCTTTCATGCCACGACACCATGTCATACACTGACCACCTCTCCGCTTTTTCCAAGCAGTCCCAGAGTCGGCAAATAATGAACGACGTGGAATTCTCTGGGACGACATTCGTAGAACATGTTCAAGCCACCGAAGTCGGTGTTTCAAGATGATGACACCCACTGCATTATCGTCTCTGCACCCGAACAAACGATCCAGAACCTCGGCATAACTGACATAGTGTTGCCACTGGATATCAGAAATCCTTTGGAGACAACGATGATCAAACACAAAGTGTCGTCTAACATCTTCAACTCGGAGAGGCCAGATTTCACAAGCATAGAGCAAAACTGCTCTCACCGACGCGTTGTAGATCCGACCTTTTACAGCCAGACTAACATCACGAAGGCGCCAAAGGTGGCCTAGATTGGTATAAGCCGCTCTGGCTTTCACTATACGTGCATTGATCTCATCACTCACACCACAACCAGCAATTATGCAGCTACCCAGATACACGAACTTCTCGACTACTTCTATCTGCTCACCATCCAGGGTGAGTACAGGATCAGAATCCTGCCAGTCTTGTAGAAGTACTTTGCACTTCGAAGGTGCAAAGCACATACCATACCTACGGACACTGATTGCCAACTGATTAAGTGCCGGTTGCATGCCTTGGGTATTATCGCACAGTAAGACAATATCATCCGCATACTCAAGGTCGAGAAGTCTTTCTCCAGGCAACAGATCCGCACCGCCATTACTTACATCCATTAGAGCTTTTTCCAGAATGTCATCGATGGCAAAGTTGAAGAGGGATGGTGAGATTGGGCAACCCTGCCTAACCCCACTGCTCAAATGGAACAATGGAGAAAGGTGGTTGTATGCCCTCACTCTGCCTGATGATGAACTGCCTATAATTATGGAAACTCATACAAACACGCAAATAATAAGTGAGAAAACCGTCTAACGTTTGAGTAAAAAGTGAGTATCCAAAGATTCTCTCATCAGTACATTCTTTTTTTTATTACAAATCTTGATATTTGGAAAGGCCTAACAAATGTGATTGGTATGTAATTCAAAAACAAACATGGACTACTACACTTACTATGAATGAGTTTACTTTAATTTTCCACTAATTAGTACTTAATCTATGTATAAGTACGTAGGAGTAAATACTAATATTTGCTACGCAAATTTATGCAAAAGTATAATACATTGAAGGCCTTGTGGATACCCAACAGTGAAACATACAATTCCTCTTAGCTCGGTTGGGTCATCACGAGAGGCAAGCCCGACCACCACGTCAAGGTAGCAGCTACGGTCGGGCCGTGGTAAGAGAGGAAATAATACGCTCGCATTTTGTTGGAAACTTCCTACCAGGCGCTCTTACACGATATCTCCGAGTGCCCTCAATTAACACGATGTATCTAAAAACGATATTCCGATTAACGGCTTCAAAAAACCATGGATCTCGTCAAGAGGACACCGGTCAGCCGTTTTTTTAGAGGAAGCTTGAGAACCATATCAGCTAGATAGTCTCCAAAGCGTTGCGACAGTCAAATACCCACCAAGTCGAAATGTGCGACTCGACTTTCTTGCCAGACAGACGGTTTCGAAATCCAGGTGAGTCTAATCTTTCCCATTTATCTTTATGTTATGTGCGGAAACAAAGAAAAGGAAAAATAGCCAAAAATGAAGCCCGTTTGGCTGAAAAGTTATTGGTGGACTCACGCTCTGAGTTGCAGATTACTCCGCCAAAACAAAACAATATTTAATCCTATCGTAGATGGAAAACGTTTGGCCTCATCAAACATTGTCGTGAGTAATTCGCTCGACTCACACGACTCTGTTCCAAGAAAAGCCAACAGTAAGCTCCCAGTAGTTAAAAGGCAGGATATAACCTCACGATCGAAAGCCGTGAACACGACTTTCAAAGAAGTTAAGTCTGTTCTTAGTTTAATTATTTGGAATTCGGAGTCGGAAGACAATGACCTTGCTAAAAAGCATGCATACGATCTGGAGTCAGTGGAATTTGCCATCAGAAATGTATTGCGAGAAGAGGTAAGTGAGTTGGAGGTGAGACCCAAACAACAAGAATCTTGAATTTAATACTCGGAAATTATGAAGAGACGTCGTACTGAATAACATATACAAAACTCGTAATTCGAATATTCGTATCCGACCAGACTGCCCGCTTGATGATAGAATCAAGTGGAAGAATGCCCTTACGGATTTAAAAACTTGAAAGCTAAATGGAGAAACGAATCTTACGATCAAGGGTTTTCGGGTGATTAGGTCTTGGAATCCAATGCTTCCGAGACGTGTATGGGCAGAACGAGTGATTCTCAGAACACCTTAAATGTAAGCTACACGAACGCCCGTAGTTTTAGAAATAAAACATCCAAGCTAAGTTTGATAGTGGACGAATTAAGTGCCGATACAATTGTTGTCCCAGAAACTTGGCTTGCCGTAGATATAGACTGTCCCCCCATCATTGCAGGGCACATCCGTATTAGAAGTGATAGTTATAAATTGCAAGAGAGGAGGCATAATACCATATGTTAAAGATCACTTTCGTGCACAATTGATCATATCGGAGGCGCATGACAGTGGTATGTGTGGGGTAACTTGTTGTACAATTAAGTCCAAACACGAGTTAGTGACCACAGGAAAAATATACCGTAGTCTATGTTGTCTTGCTGACGACTTTATCTTAAGTCACATCTATTCTTGGAGTAAGGCCGAATGTTGTATCATCATTGGAGATTTCAACGCACCGTATATCAACTGGATAGAGCCTATAGCTTCATTTAGAAGTTTCGACAGCGACCTTCTATCAATTATTCGGTGTGCACTTGAACAATGTGTCGCAAAACCGACGCATATAGACTTGGAACATGATCCGTCATTACTGGACCTTGTCCTTACAAACCACTGTGACGATTTCGTCGACATTCAGCACCCCGACTAGCAAATAGTGATCATGTACTTCACTTTAGGTTTCGGACGCACGGTATACAGTATGTATCTGATCCATCCCGTCCCAATATCTGGCGAGCAAACATTCCGGCAATCAGAGACTATGCTATCTCAACAGACTGGTCGATGAGGATGAATTGACCGAAGACAGATGGAATAAGTTTAAAGCCACATTCGAGTCCGTAACATCACCGTACATCCCATGGTCAACACGTAGGCTACCACAATGCCCTCCATGGATTAAAAAGGAAACCAGAAAGCTGCTGAAGCGAAGCAAGCACTTCTGGGACATATTCTTGTCTACAGGCCACGAACAATTTAAGTGTGAATACCGAAAGATCCACTATATATATATATATATATATATATATATATATATATATATATATATATGTCGCACCACTTACGAGAGATAATTGGCATTTGGTAGCCGTAATTGCCCGAAACGATTGTTTTTGTACATCAAACGGAGAACTGTTGCACGGAAATTCAGACATACTAGCCATAGGACCTTTACATGTGACTGAGGAAACTGTTCTTCAAATGATCACTAACCTCAAACCTAGTAACATACCGGGCTCTGATGGGTTACATTCACGATCACTGTCACCTCTCGTGGACATTATTTCAAGACCAATTGAGATGCCTTTCAACATGTCCCTCTTTATGCCCAACTCTCCAGAGATTGGAAAGATGCTATAGCTAGTCCTATATTTAGAGATGGCCAGAGAAAAATCATGTCTAACTAGCAAAATAGTTAGGTTACGTGAAAAGATAATTTGGGTTAAGTTACTAAGTCACATAGAATTATACATTCTGTTAACCCCAGAGTAACACGGGTTTCGAAATAAGCATTAATGTCTAGCCAATTTGTTGTAAGAGATAATTGAACAGGAGCCTTAGGTAACGGTCCTTCTGTCAATGTGATATTCACAGACTTAAGCAAAACCTTTGAAAAGGTTCCTTACCTAGTTCTTATTCAGAAGCTCTCGAGCTTCGGGGTAACAGGTGCTGTGCAAGAATGGATAGAGAACTCCCTATGTAACCGCAGATAGCGAGTGAGAATTACTGAGACTCTATCTGAGTGGAAGCTAGTCAAAAGTGGCGTACCCCAAGGCACCATCCTAGGTCCCCTACTTCTTCATCCCTACGTCAATGAATTATCACTATTGCTTAAATTGTTAACATTATTATTTGCGGATGATGTCCAAATATAGGGAACAATAAGGATTGAAGCTGATCATTTTGATCTTCAAGACGACCTAGACGAATTAGTTAGATGGTCTTAATGTTGTGGCTTAGAAATTAGTTCTAGCGTTTGCTCGTTAACAGTTACCAGTATACTATCGACGGTACATCTTTTCCATGAGTGCAGGAACATAAAGACGTAAGGGTAAAAGTAAGTCACGACTTCAAAAAAAAACAACACAGCAGCTGCCAAAGGGTTTCGTGAGTTATGGTCACTTCGCCGAGCATTCAAATTACGTTCCGAATTTTACATAGAACGTATGTAAGACTACACAACTGTATCCAAGCAGCTGTCCCATGTCTAATTAAGGGTATTGACTCACTTGAGCGCATCCATCGTATGGGAACAAAATTAATGGAGGCTCTTTCCAAACTCCGTAACGACGAGCGCTTCAAACGCCTAAACATTTTCCCCTTGTTGTATCGCGAACGTGAAGTGACCTCATACTGGCATTCCGTATCTTTACTAACGATTTGAGTGCCAATATGTCTTTTCTTGCTCCCTCCAGCACTGATAATTTTCGGGGTCATAGCAGGAAGGTTCAAAAACCGCGATTCAAAAGACTTAAAATGGGGTTCTGTCTTCCTTATCGAATGATCGACGACTGGCATGCCTTGCCCGGACAAGTGGTATCAGTCTCATCAGTGAACATTCCATAGAAGAAGCTGGACCTTCACTGGAAAGCAAACTGTAAGGATCAGCACAGATCCACCAACCTAGTATCCTTATTGCTGAAGATTGGATTAACTGTTCAAATCAAAGATATTATTTTATCGGTTTGTATTTTTAACTGTTTTGTGAAAAGGCGTTACCTGATCGGCTGATAAGTAGCACAAGATCGTCAATATACTATACTTATGCCAATTTTAAGTCTACTTAAAACCAAGCTTTTTAATTAATACATCCCTATAGAAATAAAAAGAAAACTACCTTTTCAAACCGAAAATTTTCGAAGCAGATTCAAAAATCTCATTAAGAGTGGCACTAGCTGTTGGAGTCTCGAAAACATGAAACTTATTTAGGAACTTCAGCCTAAGTTTCATCTTTTCAACTGCCCGACTTGACTCGACCTTGTTGCTCGAATGAGTAAAAGAAAATAAAAATTTATTCAACTGACTGATTTTATAGTTAGGGTAATGAATTCCTTGCCTTAAGATATCAGTAACAAATAATCGTGTCATTTATTGCCTTAGTATTCACCGTTGTGATGATTTTGATTTATGGAATACTAAGAAACGATTATGGACACAACATATCCTCTCTTGTTCTTCCACTAGATCGGGACATCTCAGTGGACATAGTAGGCGAGTAGAAAAGTCAAGACCGAGCAAAATACCAATGGCATACAGGTTTTCAACTCGAGTCGTCAATTCTAGGAATCTTTTACCTGAAGCAATGGTGTCCGCACCTTCAACTAACTCAATAATCCCTAGCGAGATTAAAATTTTTCTTAATCAGTTTCACAGTCTGAAATGTTAACACTGAGCTGTTTCGAGTGATACTGATGTTTTGGAGGACTAGTATATTTATATTAACTGATCACTTGGTAGTGACCATCGTTGATTGGTGGAATTCGATTGGTACTGAGGCCCAAAAAATGTCACATTTATCACTACTCGGTAATCATTCTTCGATTAACATGGAAATATTGAACGACCTATAATGACCTAAACTTCACAGAATTCACCTTGTGATCAGATAAATGCTTTTCAAAATCAAATTTCGTTTCCAGAAAGTGATTCCCAGAATGAGTTTGATGTAGATACTGTTACATTTTCATTTTATGAGGTTTGGTTGGTGCATACATCACTGCATTAGATACATGATCTGATCAATAATATGCGAGTGTATTTGTATTCCTACGTATGGGGAAATTTAGCGTTATTTTCAGTATTTTTCCAGAATTTTCGAAAAACTTTGAAAAATTCATCTATAAATACTCATAAGACTCCATAAATTTTTCGAAAATTTTTGGAATTTCCTAAAAGCCTTGAGGAAATTTATGAATTTCTCATGACTTTGGGAAAAAACCCAAAACTTTTCCAAAGTTTCACTAAATCGTGAGTATGGGAACTAATAAGAAAATGGCCACTTTATGGATGATCAGTTAAATACAAAAAAGGGAATTCTGATTGCTAATAAGGAATATAGTCATAAAACAGAATTTCCACACTCAGTGTCATTAGGTATCACGGACGTGATCCTGGTAATTTGCCTCTCGGACTGTGATTATTTTGTCGTAGAATAAACTCCTGACAAATTACGATAGAGTAATAATATATGTGGGAAAAACAGCGGTTGGAAGGATGGCTCAAGCTTCCTGTCAGAAAACAGGGTGAATAAGAATTCACTCCACTCGGGTTCCATAGTGTCAAAAGATTTCTTTATTAGCGAATGAAGTAGGAAACCTTGTTGCCAAATGAGGACAGTCTACAACTGATTAATCACTGATTGCTGACTATTGTCATACTTATCACCCCTTCCTAGTCTAGATCGAATTGTATCAACCAAATTTTAATGTGAGTACTAGCCAGGGTGACTTGCCATTGCGTGCAATATGTAAGGAGGTGATCGGGAGTGGTCTATAGGATACTTTGTACATTTGTTTCGCGCTATTTGGCACTCGCTAGCAAGGTATACCTGTGATCTCGAGAGAACCGTGGCTCCCTGATGGATCTGATCCCGATCCCGTGCCGACCAACCTTGATGTAGCTAGATGATTTGGACTTCACAGATGACCTGGCCGAATACGGAGTTTTAAAGAGAATGCTGCTGGGCGACCTATGCCTTTCCACGTGGGTTAACAGGTGTAAGGAAGTAAGTCACTTCTAAAAGACACTTACCAGTCTAACTGCTCAATGCATTAGAATTTAAACATGAACTCAACTTCACACATTCTAACTCGTCAAACTGTATCTGTTTGTCATGATAATACGCAATGAAAAGGAAGATTTACAGTCTCAGATTCAGGTAAAAACCAGTTGTACCGTTATCAACGTTTCGAAGTTTTTGTTTGTAAGTGTTTTGTAATGAAACTTCACCATAGCTAACCGTAATTCCTGAAGTTGCTAAATGTTTGGAAAATTTGTATTTTTACATCAAGAACTGACTTTGGTTGAATAATCATTAAAATTAAGAAGCACAAGAATTCAGTTTCGTCTTGGCATAGGACTTCTCATTAGTGCGCATTTTTAACACCACCATGAACTAAATCTACTGTCGTGAGGACTTATGCATAATTCCTAACTTTCGGATAACTAAGCTGATTACTTATGATTAGCATTTCTAACTTCAATCAATCCTCTTGAAGATATCACATATATATTTGCAGTTTGACAATACTTTAACCAGTAACACATTCTACAATTGAATCGTGCCCATCCAGTGAAATCAAAAGTTAGAAGCGAGGAGGTTTGAAGATATATTTGATAGGTTATCAATATATCGAGGATCGACTGATCCAGACTGGTAGCGACTGCAGGAGATGTTGAGCACGGCGTTCCCACTCGTGGTCTGGTGTGGATGCACGACCGTGCGCCTTCGGCTAGATGAGTCCATTAAAACTAATGTGGTCAGCATCCAATGTCGAGGACTTACAGAGCTATATAATTTAGGGATTTATTTACCGCTACACGCTATATTACATTTCTAATGTTCACCGTAGTTTAACTTCACTGGTTACAGTTCCTCAATAGATTTCAGGAAGCTATCTCCTAAAGTTATTCTCTAGCAAGAACATGGTGATTATTTCAGTAATGAGAAATGTGGAGGTAGCTGAATTTCGTTTGGAAATTGTTGCTTTCATTGAAACTGAACGAAGCAGAGAGAAAGTGCATATATGTGCATTATTTACATGAAATTCTCGAGTTTTTGTATCCTATTCACTTCCAACATGTTTTCCCAATTTTTTCTTCAATTGTAAGCAGCTTTGTTCTCTCCCACATTAAGCTGTTACTGTTGTTATCTGGTTAAGAAATATTGAGTATCTTGAGTAGAAAATTGCATAGACAAATGATATTAAATAATGACCACATAATATCACAGAATAACTAAAATTGAATGTATGAAATTTTGGACCCATGTTTAAGGGATTAAAAATAAAATACCTTTCAGTAGATCTAAATGTCATGGGTGTCAAGTTTTGGGTAAAGACGCGATAGACGAATATTGTTTTGCTAATTTCAACAGCCATTCATTTATGTAACCTATCCTAAAGGTGTACAATCTAACTACTACTACTACTACTACTACTACTAATAATAATAATAATAATAATAGTAATAATAATAATAATAGTAATAATAATAATAATAAACCATGGAATATGGTTTTAGTCTCCTGTTACATGACAACAGTGGATAGATTGTAAATTAATCAATAAAATTTGGTGAGACCATGATGTATGGATGACCTTCGAGCGACGCTAGACTGACTTTGAGAGTGTCCACCTAATAACCAGTTCTAAATGAGGTTTATAAATCAATGTGAAGAGTAAGGATCATGACTTACAATTGATAGTGAAGGTTAGAAATTAGATTTCAGGTTTGCATCATGAACTGACATTAGCTTAAATAACAAATGGATAAGTGAATTTCGCGGTGAAATCCAAAACCTGTTATGTTATTGTGATAATTAGGAGTATTTGAATTATAGTACGAATTGAAAATCCCAGAAATAATGCAATTGAGTCAAGGAGTACTAGATGAGCACAAACGAATATACTGTATTCGGAATTCAAAATCAAGCATTCAACAGGTACAAAGGAATTATTAATTCATTCAAACACCACAGTTATACATGTTTGGTTCGTCTATATATTATAGTCACACCGAGAATTCCTATATATTCACTCTTATCATTACCAGATTGTTATGGATGCTGAGGAATAATGTGCTAATCATCATAATGTTAAGTCTAATGATGTCCTTGGACGTTAAATGAACATTCCTATTGGCCATTATTTATTTCACTCGTTAAATATTGTACAGATGTTGTTTTCTATTTTTATGGTACGATGTGGTCTGTTTGGTTGGCATATAAACAGAGTATGTTTGAAATATAACGATTCATATCTCAGAGGCTGTGACTTGCGTTCTAGACTCAACTGGCTGGGCTAGACAGGGAAGCGGGACCAATTAGAACCCTAAGCTGTTCACTACGTGTTTTCCGTGTCACTGTAGACGATCGATAAAAACGCTGCTTATCAAACCCTGCAATCACCCGTTACAAGACAGATAATAATGGATTAATTTTAGGGAATTCTTTTTAAAGAAAGAATTAGGTATGTACAGAAGGACTTCCTAGTTTTTATTACAAAATACAAATTTTTTAGTTATGATACAATCTATTTCATTCTAATGAAACAATCCTAATTGTCTATATATATATTAGTTTGTAGCTCAAGTGGATGATTTTGATGAAATTCTGTTCTCTGAGCTGGATAGTTTCTTTTAAACTTCTACTTGAAGTTTATGATGATGATGATGATGTCGTTCAGAAGAAAAAAATGAAAGCTTCACGACCAAACCATTTAGCTCAATGAACAAAACTTTATCAAAAATGTTCATTCTTATATTTATCCACTTTACGACATGTACATTTACACTTTGAATGCTTTGCCAAATTTCATTAATTGTTCTTTGTAACCATGTTAATTTTTATTATTTTAACTAATCCATAAGAAAAATAGAACTGTTTATACATTTTCTTTCACTTATATAAGATATATTTGATTTCTGTGTAGGAGTTTCTATGCATCTTAATGAAAGTACAAAACATAGTTTATTGCCAAATGATTCTCTCTTTTCAAATATTTTAACCAAATGCCATCTCTTTCTGTGTGTGTGTGTGCTATCGATCGGTAGTCATGTTCTATTCGCCCAGTTACCTATTGATCGATCCCTTATATGGTTACAAAATACATATGTATTGTGCAATGAAACTAACCAATCAGAAGATAGAATAGAAACATTATGAAACGTTTTCATTGATTTGATTGGTTAATTTAAAAAACAACCAATCAGGTGTTAGTTTTTATAAGAAAGGGGAAGAAAAGTAAATAAATAAGGAAACTGAGATTTAGGA